GTCTCTACTAAAAATACAAAATTAGCTGGGCATGGTGGCGGGCTCCTGTAATTCCAGCTACTAGGGAGGCTGAGGCAGGAGCATCACTTGAACCCGGGAGGTGGAGGTTGCAGTGAGCCGAGATCGCTCCATTGCACTCCAGTCTGGGCAACAAGAGTGAAACTCCATCTCAAAAAAAAAAAAAAAAAGAATATAGGGAAGACAGTGGCAGAAGTGGCTTCCTCACTGCTACCCCAAAAAGGCAGAAGTGTTACAGTTGTTGATGTATGGCTCCCAGATACTAGCCACTTTCATTGTCTCCTGTTTTCCCCTATATTAAACAGTGAGTACAACAAACATCTTTTGTGGTTAAACTTTATGAAATTGTGTCCTTGGGCTAGGCTTCTTGTACTGGAATTACTACAGGGTCAAAGAGCTTGAATGTTGATATGGTTCAGCTCTGTGTCCCCATCTAAATCTCATCTCGGATTGTAAAACGTGTTGAGGGAGGGTCCTGGTGGGAGGTGACTGGATCATGGGGGTGGTTTCCCCAAAACTGTTCTCTTGCTAGTGAGGGAGTCCTCACGAGATCTGATGGTTTGAATGTGGTAGTTTCCCCTGCACTCTATCTCTTTCTCCTGCCGGTATGTAAGATATGCCTTGCTTCCCCTTCACCTTCTGCCATTATTGTAAGTTTCCTGAGGCCTCCCCAGCCATGTGGAACTGTGAGTCAGTTAAACCTCTTGTTTATAAATTACCCAGTCTCAGGTAGTATCTTTATAGCAGTGTAAGAACAGACTAATGCAAATAATACTAGTACAAAACAGACTAAGACACTTAATATAAAACACCAGACTGATGTCCAAAAGGATTGTATCAATTTACTCCTTATAACACCAACATTGGGGATTACCCATGTACCCTTATGTATTGTTCCTCAAATTTGGAGTATACAAAATGTAATGGTGTTCCATTTTTTCTAATCTAACTAAATATGCTTTGATTTTCCACAGTTCATTATTAACAGACATTTCAGAGTCATTTATTGTGGGATTTCCTGACCCTCCTTTGGGTTGCTTATGGTTATTCTATCAAAGAAAATGGAAGAGGATACTGGTTTTTAATCCATGGTATTTGTTGTCGCTGCCATTGTGCCTTATCGAGGCCCATGGTTCCACCTCCTCTCTCCTCCCTCACAAACTGCCAAAGGCTCACAGGGCTTGGAGCTCTGTGTCCAGCGGACTGTGTCTCAACCAACTCTCTATTCAAGGCCCTCCTCCATGGGTGCTGCACACCCACTGTATTGGTCTCTGTCCACCTGTCCCAGTCTCAGGATCAGCAGCCATCACTGCTGGGGTTGGGCACACGCCCTGTGGCAGAGGCTTCTGGCATCTCTGTGTTTGTTCTCCCCATCTGCCTTTGAAAGAGTTCCCCATTTTTAACAAGGCATGTGGTGGCCCAGAATAGAGCAACAAAAAGTGAGCCAGATGCCAGAAAGTGGCTCAGTAATTCCCACTTGTCCCACTGTTGCTAAGAAATTAAGTAAAGGAATGGTATGTAGTTCTAATTTGCAAATTGGAATACTAACAAAACTCAGTATTTTTATTCAAATAGTGAATAAAAACTCAGTATTTTTATTCAAATAAATAAATAGTGAATAAGTAAATAAATGGCACTTAAGTGGCCAACCTCCAAGGAGCAAAGTAAAAAGAGCATGGGTTTTGGGAATCTATTAGAACTGAGTTCAAGTCCCAGCTATACTACTTCCTGCCAGTGTGACCTTGGGCAGGTTACATCACCTCTCTGTAAACATCACTTATTGTATAGGCTACTGGGAAACAGGAAGTGTATAAAATGCTTAAAACCGTGCTTGGACCACAGTCAGGCCTTGAGTAATGGTTATCGCTACTGTACCCTACACTTTTCCTCACGGTGGTCACCACTCTGGTGCTTCATCTCCACCGATTCCGGTCCATCATTGTATTTATTTCCTGGGGCTGCAGTAACAAATCACCTCAAACTTAGTGGCTTCAAACAATGGAAATGGATTATCTCGCTGTCCTGGAGGTCACAAGACTGAGGTGAGCTTCAGGGCCATCAAGGCCTCAGCAGGGCCAAGCTCCCTCCGGAGGTGGGAGGGGGACGCTGCCTGGCCTTGTCCAGCCTCACGCTGCATTCCTTGGCTTGTGGCTGCATCTCCCCACTGCCTCAGTGATCCTGTGGGTGCTCCCCTTCTGTGTACCTCAAACCTCCCATGGCCTCTCTCCTCTAAGGACATGTTCCTGCGTTGCTATAAAGAACTACCTAAAGCCAGGCGCGGTGGCTCATACCTGTAATCCCAGCACTTTGGGAGGCCAAAGCGGGTGGATCACAATGTCAGAAGTTCGAGACCAGCCTGACCAACATGGTGAAGCCCCATCTCTACTGATAATACAAAAATTAGCTGGGCATGGTGGTGCATGCCTGTAATCTCAGCTACTCAGGAGGCTGAGGCAGAAGAATCGCTTGAACCCGGGAGGCAGAGTTTGCAGTGAGCCAAGATGGCGCCACTGCACTCCAGCCTGGGTGACAGAGCGAAACTCCACCCCCCAAAAAAATAAAACTACCTAAGACTGGATAATTTGAGACAGGGTATCACTCTGTCACCTAGGCGTGAGTGCAGTGGGATCACTGCTCACTGTAGCCTCAACTTCCTGGGCTCAAGCAATCCTCCTGCCTCAGCCTCCTGAGTAGCTGGGAGTTTAGGTGTGTGCCACCATGCCCAGCTAGTTTTTTGTGGGATTTTTTTGTTTTTTAATTTTTAGTAGAGGTGGGGTTTTGCTGTGTGACCCAGGCTATTATGAAACTCCAGAGCTCAAGGATTCGCCCGCCTCAGCCTCTGCAAGTGCTGGGATTACAGGCGTGAGCCACCGTGCCTCTACTGTACCGTTTCTATCTTTAGATTTGTTTAGATACACAAACACCACTGTGTCACCACGACCTGCAGCATTCATGCGGTAACACGCTGTGTCGGCTTGTAGCCTCGGAGCCTGAGGTTGTACCATGCAGCCTAGGTGTGAGGAGGCTATGCCATCTAGGTTTGTGTAGGTCACTCTGTGATGTTCACACAGTGACGAAATCGCCTGATGACACATTTCTCAGACCATATCCCCGTTATTCAGTGATGCATGGCTGTGCCTCATCATTTCTCTCTCTGTCATCTGTGATACTCAGAAACATACCTGGTTCTGTATCTACGTATGTCAGTCTCTGTCATTGTCCTCAGCAGTATGACTGTAACAGGCCTCTTGTCTAAGCACCTCAAAGAGAGGAAGTGTGTCTGGGCATCTTATACAGGGCTGTGGGCCAGTACCTGCCACACCCAGCTCCTTTTGAGTCATCAGAAGGGCCTGCCCCTCCCACTCAGAGCCCACATCTGCTGTTTCTTCTGCCTCGAACGCCCGTCCTCCTCCTCTACCCTCCTTCCCCTCTCCCTTCACACTGAGCTTCCATACTTAGGCCTATCCTCCACAATAGTGCTCACAACTGTTATTTCCCATGTACCCTTTTGTGCAAGCCACACCATGCCAGGGACCCTGCCTGTTTGGTCAGCTCATTCCCAAGGCCTGGCTCAGTGCCTGGTAGGCAGAAGGGCCCTCGATAAATACCTGCCCAATGAGTAACCCAGGCAGAGAAAGTGGCAGTGGAGGTAAAGCGTATCTTGGGGGCTGTCCACCCAGAGCCCTATGCTGCTTGCCCTGGCTTTAATGGATGGACAGTCGGATGGACAGATGGAGGGACAGAGGGCCTTGGCATAATTTGGCTGCCTTGTCTCTGAAGGTTGGAATGTAAACTTCTCTTCCACCCCTCTTCACGACAGCCATATGAAGAATCTGAGAGAAAAGAGACCATGGGGCCTGTGCAAAGTCAATGCGGGAAATGGAATGGGTTTTATACCACGCCTGCAACGTTCACCCGAAAAATGGGGCTGCTGAGCTGCTGGCGTGGGCAGGAAAGTGAACAGATGTGCAGAAAAGTCCTTTCCATAAAAGAAAAAAAAGACAAATCCCCAAATAGTTTCACAGTTCAGCATTTTCTGTCCTGGTCGGCTGGGCAACTGGGACCTTTGTGCAGTTCCGCTTCCCATCACCCCAGCTCAGCTGGACCAACTCAACTCACAGATCTGGACACTGGGTCTCAAGTATTCCCATCGCTTCCTTCTTGCTGTGTGAGGCCATGGGAGTGTTCACCCCCTGTAATAGTTTTCATGCTGTTGATGAAGACATACCTGAGCCTTTATTTGTATAGGAAAAGGGGTTAGTGGACTTACAGTTCCACATGGCTAGGGAAGCCTCACAATCATGGCGGAAAGCAAGGAGGAGCAAGTCAGGTCTTACATGGATGGCAGCAGGTGAAGAGAGAGAGCTTGTGCATCGAAACTCCCATTTTTAAAACCATCAGATCTCATGAGATTAATTCACTATCATGAGAACAGCATGGGAAAGACCCGCCTCCATGATTCAATTATTTCCCACTGGTCTCTCTCACATGTGGGAATTATGGGAACTACAAAATGAGATTTGGGTGGGGACACAGAGCCAAACTAATCCTAATCCCCCTAATCCTCTGTTTCCTCACCTGTTAGATGGAGACCCCTCTCTCCATTATCCCCAGGGCTGAATCAGGTGGAGTGGGTGAAACTCCTGGTATTCACAGAGCCTGTCCCATGGTCTTGCTGCTGCTCACTGCATGTTCCCTAACCCCACCCGCACCCCCAGATGGGCTTCCATTTCTCTCTGAATGTACCCTATGGTACACACCCTGGTCCAAAGGCAGACTCGGCTGTTTCATTTGTCTTCACAGGGACTTGATTGATTCATCTTGGGTCCCAGTGCCTAACTCAGGGCAGCTACAGTATATATATGGTTGTTGAGTGAAGAAGAAAAAAAAATTGAGACATTCCTATCAGAAATCATCAGATGTGTTATAATTAAACTGTAGGTACAATAAAAGAAGTATAAACTTTTCTTTCTTACATTTAGGAGTCAAATCATTGACCCAGATATTTTGAATTATCAATATGGAGATCCTGTAACAACCTTAAATTACTAGAAAGCCACCATTGTTTACTATTTTCAAATTTTGGTAAGTTTTTTAAGATTTTTTTCCCCCTGAGGTTACTAAAGTTTATGAAACTCATTTGATAACGACTTCAGCCCAAATTCCCCATCATTGTCTAACATGAAGATTAAATTTGGTGTGTGTGAAAGATAGATGAACTGCTACAGGACAAAAAGGCAATTAGAAATAATGGCCTCTGGCCACAAAGGCACACAAATTAAAGGACTGTCAACCCAGGACAGAGATTCTATCAGTGATGAATCTGGCATTTCACTTGACTGCTGATGTAGTACAATTATGGGAAAACTAACCGAGATGACCTGAGTGCACAGACAGACTGGGCCATCCGTCTCCCAAGTGAAATTTCCCGGTACCCAACTTCAAGCTTTGCTTTTCCATCACTGCTGAGTGGCAGTATGGCAGAGAGAGATGACCTTTACTTAACCTTGAGAATAACTCCACTTCTTCCTGGCCAAAATAGAGAATGTATGTCAATGCCTGCTGACAATCCATTTACAGGAGTTATTGCATGTTTGGTCTAAGTTGATGATCTCTGCCTTTTTGAACTTTATTTTACAAAATAAATATGTTCCATAGGCCATCTTGGACACTATAAAGGACCACACACCAGTGACAGATGCATGACAAATTTAAAAGGTAACTTGCATCTGTTTTGTTTTGTTGTAGAGTTTTTTTTAAACTCAAACATTCAGCTGAACTAATATAAAGAAATAACCAAGTTTCACCTGCCACCTTCTCACTGGGTGATACTCTACTTTCTTTCCTTTAGGTATTTAGAAAATGTTTATAGCTGTCAGCAACCCAGTAGATAAGTGATTCCAAAACAAATCCTGAATCAAGCACTTTTCAGACTTAACTCCTTCCTTCCCAAACATACCTGTGTAATGATTTGTTCAAAGACCTGAAGTAAACGACATCAGATCAGATATCCAGTCCTTCAAAGAAAATGGTTTCAGTGAAGTTAAATCCCAAAACTTGCCCTCATTTTCACCTCTTCAGCCCATCCTTATCAGGAGCTTCTTGTCACCAATAAGATGAGTGGTAGTTCGTGTGTTGGACTATATCAGATTTTTTTCTGTTGGGTTAATCAAGACAATGTCATGAACCAAATAACTTAGTGATTGAAAGGCACTAATGGCTCATGACCAGCCTGACCAGCATGGCAAAACCCCGTCTCTACTAAAAATACAAAAATTAGCTGGGCGTGATGGTGGGTGCCTGTGATCCCAGCTACTGGGGAGGCTGAGGCAGGAGAATCACTTGAACCCAGGAGGCGGAGGTTTCAGTGAGCCAAGATCACGCCATTGCTCTACAGCCTCAGTGACAAGAAAAGGCACTAATGAAGCACATTGACCACACTCTCTATGGATCGATAGACTATTTCAGAAATACCCTTGATTTTTGTATTTTTAGTATTTTTAGTAGATAGGGGGTTTTACCATGTTGGTCAGGCAGGTCTCAAATTCCTGACCTCGTGATCCGCCTACCTTGGCCTCCCAAAGTGCTGGGATCACTGGCGTGAGCTACCGTACCCGGACTGCCCTTTCTTTCTTTCTCTTGTCTGATTGCTCTGGCTAGGACTTCCATTACAATGTTGAAGAGGAGTGGTGAGGGTGGGCATCCTTGTCTTGTTCCAGTTCTCAGAGGGAATGCTTTCAACTTTTTTCCCGTTCAGTACTATGTTGGCTGTGGATGGCCTTTATTACATTGAGGTATGTCCCTCGTATGCTGATTTTTCTGAGAGTTTTAATCATAAAGGGGTGCTGGATTTTGTCTAATGCTTTTTCTGCATCTATCAAGATGATCATGCGATTTTTTTTTTTTTTTTTTTTTTTTTGAGACGGAGTTTCGCTCTTGTCACCCAGGCTGGAGTGCAATGGCGTGCTCTCGGCTCACTGCAACCTCTGCCTCCTGGGTTCAAGCAATTCTCCTGCCTCAGCCTCCCAAGTAAGTGAGATTACAGGTGTGTGCCACCACACCCAGCTAATTTTTGTGTTTTTAGTAGAGACGGGGTTTCACCATGTTGGCCAGGCTGGTCTTGAACTCGTGACCTCAGGTGATCTGCACACCTCTGCCTCCCAAAGTGCTGGGATTACAGGCATGAGCCACCGTTCCCAGCCGTAAAGTTCCCTGTTAATAAAAGGGCCCAGAAAAGGCAGGCCCAGACAGAAAAAAAATATGCTTTACCATCTCTAGAGAGTCTGTGTGCCCACTATTTTTATTTTTGTTTCTTTCTGTTTATTTTCCTATCACAATTAGTAGGAAGATATTTCAAACAAAAAAGACTATATCCAGGCCAGGCACGATGACTTGCGCCTATAATCCCAGCACTTTGGGAGGCTGAGGCAGGTAGATCGCTTGAGCTTAGGAAATCAAGACCAGCCTGGGCAACATGGCAAAACCCTGTCTCTACCAAAAATAGAAAAATTAATCAGGTGTGGTGGTGTGCGCCTGTAGTCTCAGCTACTTGGGGGGCTGAGGCAGGAGAATTACTTGAACCTGGGAGGCAGAAATTGCAATGAGCCCGGATCACACACCACTGCGCTCCAGCCTGGGTGGCAGAGCGAGACACTGTCTCATAAAAAATAAATAAATAAGTAAATAAATAAATAAGAAAGAGAGAAAAGAAAAAAGACTATATCCAAATTGACCTATGGGAAAGTCATTTTCATAGGTCAAAGTGGTCACATATCAGCATTGCACATGGTTCTGCCTGATGCATCTGGTCCAGGACAGAAGGTAGTAGGGGCAAGGGCCTCAAATCTCTTCCTCAGGCAGCTCTGGGTGTGGAGTGGAGCGGTCCCCAAGAGACCAGAGGCTGATGGCAGCTGTGAAGAGAGAAGGCTGGCTACTGCACCCCCAGAGCAGAGGGAAAAGGGACGGTCACAGGGAAACTGACTCAGAAAAGCAAACAGGCCGGGTCATCCCTGGGGGAGGAGGACCCTGGGGCTGACTCTCGGGGTGGTCCGTGTCCCCAGCCAGGTCCTTCCAGGCAAGTCTCAGGATGTCCTCAGCCCATTCTCGAGATAGTCACCCACCTGAAGACCTCAGGGCCAAGCCGGCCCATGCAAACAGACTATGCAGGTGGCCTGGCAAACCTGGCCCCATGCCAGGTTCCGTACTATTTGAAATGTAAGTCTGCGTTGGTTTCAGCTCAGGGTTTTGTTTTGGTTTGGTTTTTTTGAGACAGAGTCTCACTTTGTTGCCCAGGCTGGAGTGCAGTGGTGCAATCTTGGCTCACAGCAACTTTCACCTCCCGAGTTCAAGTGATTCTCCTGCGTCAGCCTCCCGAGTAGCTGGTATTACAGGCGTGCCCCACCATGCCTGGCTAATTTTTGTGTTTTCAGTAGAGACAGGTTTCTCCATGTTGGCCAGGCTGGTCTCAAACTCCTGACCTCAATTGATCCACCCACCTCGGCTTCTCAAAGTGCTGGGATTCCAGGCGTGAGCCACTGCACCTGGCCTTGCTCAGGGTTTTAAGTGGATTAGTGAGTTGTCTGTTTGTTCTTCCCCAGGGCACCTCAGCTTTTGAATGTGTGGCCACCGCCACCTTCATGGCCCTGGACAGCTCGACACTAAATTTCCAACCACCCCTTCCGGTATGATGAGGCTGCCTGGCCATCCTCGGTGGGATCAACCACACTCAGCTCTGTGGAAGAAGGAATGCCCAGCACTGTTCCCCAGAGCCACCTGCAGCAACTGACAGCCGCCTGCCTCGGCTGCCGCTCCACCTGCTCAGGCCTGCCTTCAGAGTTGTCAGGTGAGAGGGGACAACTTTGCAAAGGCTGTGGCAGGAGGGACAGCATCGCTACCCTGAGGCCCCAGGCCAGGAGGCCCTCACCTGGGCCTGCTGCGGGGAGAAGCTGTAACCACAAACCCCTTCTCTGGCTCCAGACCTGTCCTTTCCAGCCCACTGATGGGGAGGACAGTGGGTGGCAGTGAGGACAGAACAGTGACACTAACGCTTACTTGAGGAATGCTCATTTACCTGGAGGCATGCTCTTGTTCCACCTCTGGGGACCTCCCTCAGGCTAATACACAGCTCTGTGGTCCCTGCTTCTCCCTCAGCATCCTCTGACAAGGCCACCTCTCCTGGATGCCACCCACAGAGCCCTGGGGACCCGGATACTGGTCCCCATGGGGCCCCTGTGAGAGTTGAGCAAGTTATCAATCACATGCACTTCAGTATCCTCAGCTGTTAAATGGTGATGAAAATGGTAGTTCTGTCACAGGGCTGTTGTGAGGATGAAACGAGCAAAATACTTAGACCAGCACATGGTGCATAGGAAGGATTCAACAAGTGTTACGTGATTATATAAGTATTATTATTGTTGTTTCAAAGACGCAAGCGTCTCTCATGCAACCCATGTCAGGAAGGCAGCTGGGATCAGAAATACAGACGAACAAGTAACTGTTAGGTTGGTGCAAAAGTCATTGCAGATTTTGCCATTACTTTTAGTGGCAAAATCGTCTATGACTTTTGCACCATCCTAATAGCTAGTTAACAGGTCTCTCAGCTGCTCATCTCTGTTCCTCCAACCACAGCTGTTTCATTTCTTGTCCCACTACAGATCAACTTTCTCTGCTACCCAGTCCTTATGGCCAAATGTGTCTGTCTATCCTAGCTCCTCGATGTTTGTATTGTAGGCTCAGTGTGTTCCCTGGTTGGCTTCCCGCTTGCCCTGGGGAACGGCCCTTGAAAAAGAGAGAAATAATTGGGGCATAGGCCCCAAAGGTGTCTGCAGTAGGACAAGTGAGAACCTTGATAGGAATTCTTCGCAGGCTGATTCCAAATGAGAGCTGAATATCTGTCCTTCCTGGAGAAGTTGCAAAAGCAAACACCTATTGTGAGCTTGGATGTCACTGCCAATGTGGTTAAATCAATATACTTCTTTGGCTAATACAAAATAATGTTTTCTTTTATTTGGATCAGAATTTTGAAGAGCTTGTTCTCCAATAACAACTAGGTCAGCCTTGGCTATCTAGAAGCTATCTTGAAGTTTTGGGGGGTTTTGTTTGTTTGAGACGGAGTTTTGCTCTTCTTGCCCAGGCTGGAGTGCAGTGGCACAATCTCAGCTCACTGCAACCTCTGCCTCCCTGGTTCAAGCAGTTCTCCTGCCTCAGCCTCCCGAGTAGCTGGGATTACAGGCACCCACCACCATGCCCAGCTAATTTTTTATATGTTTAGTAGAGATGGGGTCTCATCATGTTGGTGAGGCTGGTCTCGAACTCCTGACCTCAGGTGGTCCACCTGCCTCAGCCTCCTAAAGTGCTGGAATTACAGGCGTGAGCCACCTCGCCCAGCCAAAAGGAAATTGAAGCTTTTTATGTTATTTTTACTCTACCTAATGTTATCTTCTTGTCATATTTTAAATGTTTTGTTGTTGACTATATGAGACAAAAACTAAAAGGACCATTGTGATGGCTTGTCTCAGGTGACATGCTTGGTGAAGTTCAGGTCGTGCTGAAAGTACTTTGGGTGACTTAAACAACTGACAAACGAAACAACTATTAGGATGAGCTTTGCGGTCTTCTCCTGTGTGTGGAAAAATAATTGTGCTCATTTTCATGGTCACTTTTTAAGAACTGGCAGAAGAGTGTGAAAAAGGAGAAAGGGTAATGGTTTTGGCATTTCATTTAAACAAAGGAACAGGAGACATTTGTTTCTTTAGGATTCAACAAGTAAAAGAGGGAAGTGCATAATGTTGGGCCAGGATGCTTTTCTTCCTTTTTTTTTTTTTATTATACTTCAAGTTCTAGGGTACATGTGCACAACGTGTAGGTTTGTTACATATGTATACATGTGCCATGTTGGTGTGCTGCACCCATCAAAAGGTTTCTCTTTTGAAGTGATGAAATGTTTTAAAATTGACTGTGGTGATGATTGCATGTATCAGTGAAAATACTAAAAACTATTGAATTGTATCCTTTAAATGGGTGAATTATAAAGTATGTGAATTCTATCTCAATACAGCTATTTAAAAAAAAAATGAATGAATGAAAACTGGTAACAACAATCAAAAAGCTACCTAAGTCATCCATATAAGGGTCATCCCAAACATATCCCGAAACTGACCTAAAATCTGAGAAAATTGGTCTCTTGATAAAGCCATTCCCCCTCATATTGCTTAATAAGCCTCCTAATGCTGAGTGATTTGTATTCATTGTATCGCATCTTATACAATCAATAAACAATACTCCTTTTTTTGAGACAGGGTCTCGTTCTGTCGCCCAGGCTGGAGTGCAGTGGCACGATATCAGCTCACCACAGCCTTCGTCTCCCAGGCTCAAACGATCCTCCCTCAGCCTCCCAAGTTGCTAGGACTATAGGCACACACCACCACGCCTGGCTAATTTTTGTATTTTTTGTAAAGATCAGGTTTTGCTATATTGCCCAGGCTGGTCTTGAACTCCTGAACTCAAGTGATTCACCTGCCTTGGCCTCCGAAAGTAGTAGGATTACAGGCATGAGACACTGCGCCCAGCCTGCAATAAGTAATACTTTTAAAACGTTAAGTTATCCCAAAATATAGAATCCAAAATAATTTCTTTCCATTTTAAACCTAAGCAAGTAGGTGATTGGTTGTTCTATGTCTGTTTGTAGTGAATATTTGCCATGTGACAAATGACAAGTTTTTCACGAGTCATGCCCCGAGTAGTTTTAGTACATGTCAATGGTTTATAAAAACGTGAAAAGTAGGGCCAAATTCAGGAAGCACATCTGAGCTTGGAGAATATAAGTTCTTCTCTACCACCAGCAAATAAGAATGTCAAAAGTTGTAGCAACTTTTAAAGCAAGCAAAACCAGAAAGTAAGGAGCATATGGTAATTTCTCCAGTACTAAAAGCCAGCATTGCAGCTGCTCTATGTGCAGCCTTGAAGTATGGTAGAAGAGAAATAAAATAGGCCGGGTGCAGTGGTTCATGTTTGTAATCCCAGAACTTTAGGAGGCAGAGGCAGAAAGATTGTTTGAAGCCAGGAGTTCAGTACTAGCCTGGGCAACATAGCAAGACATCCTGTTTATTAAAAAATAAAATTTAAAAATTAGCTGGGCGTGGTGGTGCGTGCCTGTAGTTCCAGCTACTTGGGAGGCTGAGGCAGGAGGATTGCATGAGCCTAGGAGCTCTAGGCTGCAGTAAGCTATGATCACACCAGTGTACTACAACCTGGGCAACAGAGCAAGCCCTGTGAGACCGGAAGGGAAGGGAAGGGGAGGAAAGGGGAGGGGAGGGGAAGGCAGAGGGAGGAAGTCTTTGTTTGTTATTTAAATACAAAGCTATAACGGATATTATTCAAGAAGCTGTTTCTTCTGTATACTAACAAATGCCCCAGAGACATGGAAGAGAACAAGCAGCTACAGAAGGAATCAAAATTTAAAGAGAATTTAAAAGAAAACAAGATAGAGCCCTCTCTGCAGCCTATCCCATTAGGGTGTAAAAGCCTCTGAGGTTGGAATTCTGACTAACGCTTCAACTTCCACAGATAGGCGGCAAGCCAAAGGGATCCTCGTGTTCACAAAAAGTCTTCCTGAAACCCAAGTGGACACCCAGTTCAGAGACCATGAAGTGAAACAGATGGAGAAACTCCCTGGAAAGTTTCACTGGGGACAAACACTGGATTATTCAGATTAGCCTGGGCCATGAAAATATTCTACTAGAAGCATTGCGAGCTGAATCCAGGTGCCCTGGCTTCAAATCCTATCAGAGGTGGATTCTGACACGAGGTAGATTATGAGCCCACAGCCACCAGGAAGAACCAGTCACAGGCAAGAGCTTTTAGCCCTGCCCAGAAGGAAAGGACCACCAAGTTCCCAAAAGCAGCAGACAAGTGTCCTCCAGGAACTGAGAGACTCAGCTTGGTACTGTGTGCTAATAATTACACCGGGCTTTTTTGTTTTTTAAAGAAAAATAAGTTGTAAAATTCCAGCACTTTGGGAGGCCGAGGCAGGTGGATCCCTTGAGCCCAGGAGTTTGAGACCAGCCTGGACAACATAGTGAAACCCTGACTCTATAAAAAAATAATAATAATAATAATAATAATACAAAAATCAGCCAGGCGTGGTAGCATGTGCCTCTTGTCCCAGCTACTCGGGAGGCTGATGTGGGAGGATCACTTGAACTCAGGAGGTTGAGGCTGCAGTGAGCCAAGAATGCACCACTGCACTCCAGCCTGGGTGACAGACCTTGTCTAAAAAAAAAGAAAAGAAAAGAAGACAAAAGAAAAAGAAGGAAAAAAGATAAATTGATTTCCAGACCTTAGGGGGAAATTGAACACACCTAAGGTTTTTCATTGTATCAAAGCGAAGGCAGGGCTATGAGCCTTGTTCATCCACACTCCACTAAAGGGAGCTGGCAGGAGTGCCAGGAAGTTCATGTGGGGCTCACTTCCCAAGGCCCGAACCCCACAGAGGTGATGGCTTCCGAATTGATGTTGGTGAGACATCACACTCCACTAACTTCGTGACTGATACTCAGTTGTCCTGCCTGTGACAGTGTTTGCTTGGGTCAGTTCTGATGAAGAATGAATGTGTATTTACATTTAGGAAATTTCTCCATTTAGGTGTGTTTACACTTACGTCACTTCAAGTGGCTTTCTAGATTTTGGCAAAAATAAAATGATGTATACTAAAGCTAACCATACACATACCCTAGCAGCCAACATCCACTCCCAGATATATTCTCAACAGAAACGTCCACAGATATGCACAAAAAAACAAACAAACCCTAAAGTGTTCATAGCAGCATTATTCATAACAGCCAAAAAACCTGGAAGCAATACAAATGTACATCAATAATAGAATGAATAAATAAACAGTTGATATATTCCTACAAGAGACTATGGTTGATTTATGTACAGTGTAAAATAAACCAGACAAAAATGAGTGCATAGAGTACGGTTGATTCCATTTATATAAAGTTCAGAATTGGGCAACAAATGTATGGTGTGAAGAGTCAGAATCGTGGTTATCTTTGAGGAAGAGAGTAAGTGTCGTAGCTGGGAGGGGCTTGGAGGGGCTTCCAGGGTGATGGTGATCTATTTCTCACGCTTGTTGGTGTTATAGAAGGGATGTTACCTTTGAAAATTCATTGAGCACTTACGATATGCTTGCTTTTCTGTATTTGTTGTATGTTGATAAAAACTGCATTTTAAAATAAAAAAATTTAATGTTTTTTAATCATCTATATGGTAACTGTAACTGTTGCTAGGGACCAGTATATTATTGTAGAAAATTATGGAAAATGATGAATTTCCAGGTGTACTGTTGATACATCTGGAGAGAGCCCACTTGATGACAGTGGTGACTATCATGGTTTGGTATTGTTGACGTCTGAAGCCCTCAGTCTTACACCTAACTTACATTTGGCTATTGGTCTTACCATGTTGTTTAACAACCTAATCTTGGAGTTTCAAGTAATTCCAGATACTCACTTTGAATGCAGGACAGGAAGGTCTAGCCTACTGATGACCTGGATCTAGACAATAGGTCCTCCCTTCGTGTGTTACTTTGGAATTGAACCCATTATTCTAAAAGTACACCCTAGACCTCTTTACCTCTAAGTGATTGATGACTCGGAGGTCACTGCACATCTTCAGAAGACAGGGCTTTAATGAATAAACCAAGGAGAATAAAAAACTAAGAGTTCTCAGGGAAGAAACTGAAAGATTTCTTTAGAATGTTTTCCTTTGGGT